TATTTTGTTGTGACCATATTGCTAATTTTATACTTTTGGCTTAAATTTTTGCATTATTTCCCCGCAAGTGTGTCGTGACAAATCTTTTGCACATTTTTAGCTCTCGCAGATGTTTTCTGTTCTGGTAAATTGAAAAAAATGCGAGTCTATGTTGTGGATGATGTTACTAGTGCAGAGAATGGAATTGTGCCATTGGCAGTAAAAATTTCGCGAACATCTCCCGATGAACCAATCGTTGAAGAAAAGCCAACTTTCAGATGTAACTATTTTGCAGTTTTGTTTTTTCTGTTATCCAATTTTTACGTGCGGCATGAAGGAGCTAATCAGGTTCTCCCCAGATCTTTTATTTAGCGTGCAAATATTAGGCAGTGTGTGTAACAGTTCAAAGTCAAGGTCCCATTTGGGCTCACAGTGAAAGGCAAAGGAGTCCAGAATTAGCTTGGTTGCTAACATGTCCTAGTAGCAACGTCTTGCCCAAAAAGTTGATGGCTTCCTCTTTCAAAGACTGCTTAAAACCAAGCTGATGGCTTTTTTTGTTTCTCTGCTGCGAGATGCTATCAGATGAACGAACAAACCTTGGTTGTTCTGCCGCTGAACTTGGATCCTCATCCTTTCGCATAGGAACTGCGCTGCTTTTCATTGTTCCGTAATCACAAACTTTACATGAAAATATTACACTTGATCGTTTTATGTGTTCATTTTAGCAGTTCTCTGTTACATCTTCACATCTGGAACAACAGGAAATCCGAAGCCTGCCGTCATAAAGCACTATAGGTAAGCAATGCAGCTAACTTTTCATGATCTGCTAGTTGTAAGTTTACACCCGTGCTGCGGTTCGCAGCGTTTGCTCTCTGCAAAATATGTATAAACTCGTTGCGGTAGGATTTTCCGGCTTATGGCCTCTGGAACTCATAACATTTTTAAGGTATTACTGGATGGCAATGGGTGTCGCGAAATCGTTCGGTATTTACACCAGCGATCGTATGTACGTTATGATGCCGATCTATCATAGCGCTGGAGGAATACTTGGCATTGGTCAGGTAGTACTGCAGGGTAGCACAGCTGTTGTCCGAAAAAAATTCTCTGCCAGTAATTTTTGGAAGGATTGCTCGAAGCACGACTGTACCGTGAGCCAGTATATCGGAGAAATGTGCAGGTTTGTGGTTTTTGCATTTTCGAAGAATGAAATTTGGAATTCCGTAAGACGTGGAGGTACCTTGTGGGATAGAGTTCTTTGACAACACTACGTATTCACTAGCTTTCGTTTTTCCTCTTCCACTCTGTGCCTCCTTCTGGACATGTCTCGGCTTTTTCTTCTTACTAAGTGACGCACCAATTTATCATCAAAACGATTTTGTACTGGCAATTTTG